TGGTGATATCCCAAGGACCGAGCTGGAGGAAAGGGAGGACCAGGCCAGGGTGCCATCTTGTCAGAAAATAGAAACATTTGCAAGGCTTCATGCATTTTGAAATGTTTTTCCCCCTTTGTTTTTCAAATTACAAAAGTAATGTATGTTGTAGCAAGTAAAACAATACAAAGATATATAAATTAAACAAATACTTTTATTTCCCTTCCCCACCAAGGTAACCCATGTTAATCGACACCTTGTTGTATATCCTTTCACACCTTTCTCTTTGTTCATATAAACGTACACATGCATATATACACATATAGGGATTTTAAATTTAAAAAAAAAATAGATTCATATACATTATTCTGCAATTTGTTCTTTTCGCTTGACAATATACCACAAACATCTCCACAAATTAGTCAAGTTCTAGCTTCCCCCTCAAATTTTACTTAATCACACATTTGGGATATCATACTTGGTTTAGTCATTTACATATTTTTTCTTTTTGGCTTTCATTTTCCCTTTCCGAGTCCCCCATAACCCACCTGCATCACCCACCTCCCCCCAACCCAGTGCATACTCTTCTATACTTTTCTCCATGCATATAAAATCTTACACAAACATATATGGATACATGTTATCACTCATATAAACACTTAGAGGCATTTTGTCACTGATTTACAAAATCAGGGACATATTTTACACACTTCTCTACCTTGCTTTTTTCACTCAAGAAAACACTGTGGAATTCCATTCAAGTCCACAAGCATAGTTGAATTTGTCCACCTTAATGGCTATATAAACATTCTACAGAATGGATATACTATAGTTCCTTCCCTCTTCCAATTTCCCTACTGATGGGCATTTATTTTGATTCTAGTGTCTTTTGACACTAGGAGCAATTTTACAATAAATGTCCATGTTCATCTGTCCTTCGTGTTTTACTTCTAAGAGAAGATTCCCCAAAGTGGCGTGAGTATTTTAAGTTATAACAGATGTTGCCAGATTGCTTTTCAAAAGAGCTGTTATGATTTGTTTTCACCAACAGTGTATAAGAACATCCTCTGTTCTGACAGCAAAAAGCATTCCTGCTCTTTTTTGTCAGCTTGATTGCATACTGTTATCTCATTATAAGTTTAATCTGCATTCCCCAACAACTACTGAGGCTAAACACTTTGATAAGCCCACCAGCCACTTGGATTTGCTCTTCTCACAACTGTCTATTCACACTCTTCGCCACACTCTTTGCTCTTGGGTTATCTTTTTCCTGTCAATGTGAAGAGCACTTTTTCTCTGATTGGGTCTGCAAATATTTTCCCCCAAATTATTGTTTATTTATCAGATGGCATCTTTTGCTATGTGAAGATTGTACTTTTTATGTAGTCAAATATTTATTTTTTAATAGCGTTTGAATGTCCTGTGTTGGTAAAGTTAATGTCCCCAACTCTAGATTGTATGTGTAGTCTCTTTTCATTTTGTTTTAAGAATTTTATTGTTAGTTAAACAATTTAAATCTCAAATCCACCTGGAATTTTTTTTTTCATGTGATTTGTGCTGTTAGTCCCACTTTACTTTCTTCCTGATTAAAAGCCAACTGTGGGGCGGGCCCTGTGGCATAGCGGTTATGTGCGCGCGCTCCGCTGCTGGCGGCCTGGGTTCAGATCCCTGGTGCGCACCGAGGCACCGCTTGTCAGGCCATGCTGTGGCGGCATCCCACATAAAGTGGAGGAAGATGGGCACAGATGTTAGCCCAGGGCCAGTCTTCCTCAGCAAAAAAGAGGAGGATTAGCATGGATGTTAGCTCAGGGCTGATCTTTCTCACACACAAAAAAAGCCAACTGTGCCAGATTTCTTTTTAAATAAACTATTCTTTTCCCCTATGGTTTGAAATTCCACTTTTTCCATACATGAAAAAGCTCATATACACTGAGGTCTAGTTCAGGATTTTTTATTCTGTTCCATTGATTTATTTATCTGTTCCTTTGCCAATATTATATTAATTTAATTAAAATGACTTCATGGTATAATCTGACATCTGGTATGAAATTTCCTTTTTATACTTTTCTTGGCTAGATTCTCAGGCATTTATTTTTCCATATGGAATTTAAGATCACTTCACGTAAAAAAAAAATCACTGACATTTAGTGAATTCCAAGAGAAGTGCATATAAATTATTAGATGTTTACAGAGAAAAGCTCTTGATTTCTATACCCTGCCTTCTTAGAAAATTATCAAAATTATTAGAGTCTCTTCATATATTAGTATATAATCATATCGTCAGAAAAAAGGGTCAGTTTTACCTTTTCTTTTTGATTATTTATAGCAATTATTTAATTTTCTTTTTTATTGTCTTCCCTGGAACCTTTAAGACAATATTTAGTAAAAATAATACTATTAAATTCTTGATTTTTAAAAAATGGCTTCAGCATAATATCTGCTATTGGGTTTTGGTAAAGAAACTCTAAGTGGTTACCATCTATTACAATTTAATTTATATTTTATTACATTAGAAATGTTTGCAAATTCTATTAAATGCCTTGTCAGCATCTATTGATAGCATCTTCTCTTTCAAGCTGTTAATTTTATTGATATATTTCCTATCATTGGCTCTGCATTCTTGGAATAACTCTTACTTGGTCATCATAATATATCATTCTTTAGGTATACTGCTGAACTTTACTATTATTTTACTTATAATTTTTGTTTCTCTAGACTCAAGAGTAAGATTGATCTGGAGTTTTCTTTTTTCCAACTACTTTTATTTGGTTTGGTGTTAAATTTATTCTGATTTCACAAAGTAAATTGGGGAACATAGTCTATGGGCTGAAATATTTAACAGTGGTATTACTCCTTCTTTAAAAGTTTGATAGAACTAATCATGAAATCATCTGAGCCTGGAGCATTTTCAATCATAGATCTTTAATCACTTTTCCAAATTCTTCATTGGTAATTGGTCTATCACGTTTTCTACTTCTTACTGCAATTTTCATAACATATTTTGCTAGAAAAGCTTCTATTTCCTGTTTTAAAAATATGTTGATCTAGAGTTGCATGAACTATCTTTTATTATTCTTTTAATCACATCTTTATCTGTGATCATGTTTCCTTTTTCATTCTGGAGTAGGGATTCTCACAGGGAGGCAGATCTTGAACAATGTGGCCATTTGTTTTCTTATATGGATGACATGGCAGGTCAAGGAAATGGACTTTTTTCAAAGATTGGAATGATGAAAAAACTTGGGATTTAGTGTCCAGGACATTTACAGGGAAATTTATAGGGAAGAAAAGTGGATGTTGCTGAATGAATTTGCAAAAAAAAAAAATAAATTCTCCTTTATGGGTCTCTGCATGAAATAATTCTGAATTATAAGACTGATATAAAGAGTGTCTCTCCTACTAATTTGCTGCAAGGCATTTTAAACAAGACTAAGAAAATGGGAATAGTGCACACTATGCCAGGGCCACACTACTTTTTGTCAAATAATGAATGTGCTGAGTAATCAAGTTTATAGTATTTTGTTCCCCCAATATCGGGTTGTGAAACTATTCCTTAGCTTTGCCTTTTCAACATTAATAAAGGCAAAAATAAATAATTTATTATTTATTTTTATGGTCTATTTT